CTCACACACGCACACACACATTATCAACATTGTTTAACTTTGTGTGTGGGGGAAAACAGCCAAGAACATTAGGTAGTAAAATTAAATAAATAATTGAAAGACAAAAAAAAAATCCGTTCGATCATAAAATAAAAATAAAATAATAAAATAGGAAGTTGTATTGAGACAATTCTTGTTCATGCATACTTCAGTCATTCATAATTTCCTACTGCATGAGTTGTATTCACTCAGGCACTTAAACTATTTACAGAACAAGCATTTTTAAACTCAGAACATGAATTATTTTTAACTTTTGTGATTAAAAACATTGATTTGAATCTCATTTTTGAAGCTGTTCTGTAAATAACATTCAAACAAACAATACATATAGAAACTTCTGATCAATCCATATCATTTTCAGACTTAAAACAATGTACAGATTTAAGCCCCGCCAACTTCCGGTTAAACCACACCCACATCCGGTTTAGGCCCCRTCCACTCCGAGTACAGATACAGATACAGATAATTTAGATACAGATACAGATGGTGGTGTACTCGCTCATCCCTAGTTTTACTGTATTACATTAAACCTAAGTCTAATAATCATAATAATGTTTTGATATTTTATAAATTAAATTATACATTTTAAATAAAAAAAAACTTTTTTTTGTCCCCTACCCTTCTAATTTTCCTAACCAGACCAGGAACCTGTACTGCAGGATTAACCTGAGTGTCCCAGTTCTGGACAACTTTTTTAACCAGGAGGATCTCAGACCAGATTTCAGGCTGAGCAGGGAGTCTCTGGCAGTGTTGCTGAATCTCTTTAAACAGGATGGCCATTGTGATGGAATACTTATATAATTCTCTGCTTGTACAAGTTCATACTGTCTTGATATTCATATTATTGTATCTCTTTTGATAACTGCTACATCTTGTATAWTCTGTTTCTCATGATTTCAAGACGCCTCTCATGTCTGTAACCTCTCTCTTATTTTGGTAATCTTTGTTCGAGCTGGTGCTCTGTCATTGGACCAGGTTGACATTTGTCGGTCTGTGATTGGACACTCACGATCTGCCACTGAATGTAAAACTGCATCTCTGTTCATTGTTCAGTCAGTAGCAACTTGACGGATTTCTTTGATCGGGTCTGCTTGAGTTGTTACTCTGCTTCTGCTAAACCTTTTATTAAATCATCTTGACGGCCACCATGCAGTACACATAGTTTCATTCACGTGTTTCTGCCTTTTTAATAAATATTTCTACAACAATTTGGCGTCATGAGTGGAACTCCACCAACYGAGTGAGCCCATCGGGGCCGACGGGAGGACGATTAACCCTGAGACTGACTGTCTTCACTTCGGCTGAAACTAGTTAGAGAGTTTGAGCAAACAGCAAGAAAGAAGGTGGACTACAGGAACCACCAAAGATTCAATCT